TACTAACAGTAAGCCATAGAATATCATAAGAACGCATCTCCCCATTAGTGAACTCCCACCAAGATCATGCCTCCTACACTTTTCTACCTTTTCCAAGTATTGACCACTTCAACATTCAAGGTAGTATAATACTCATAATTCATCTTTTAAGCGGTTCCTTAGCCTATCTAAGGTACCAAACCTAGTTACACTTCCCTAAGTGAAACTCCTCATTTTTTATGATCACAATGCATGCTAATAATCATATTTCCATAAGTAACATCATTATTAAATAGATAGTAAACATAGATGCATTATTATTAAAGCAATACACCATAAACCTTTCTAAAACACATTTTATTTGCATTCAATTGTTCAAAACATGTAATGCATGCTAGATAATATTATCTATTCAAAAATAGCTAAACAAAGCAATAAAAAATATAAATTCCCCTATTACCTCAACCCTTTGATATCAAACGGGTTTCTCTTGTATAAAATAAGACTTGGCTTGTTCTTTAACTTCTTAATAAGTTTCACTAGCTATTTCCTACAACATATAAGTGATCCACATCACTTTTCATGGCAAATAGTATAAAAGAAGACTATAATTCATACCACACAACTTGGGTCAATGAGCCATAATCCATCTCAATGGTCCATGTATTAAACCAACTATTCTCATATTACTACTTAACCACCAAAATAATTTATTAGCCATCATTAGACAAATTTTCAAACCATACAATTTTTAATCAAACAAAAACTTTCACTAGTGTTACCAACTCTCATAATTAGCCCTTATAATGAAAATCAAAGCTTAATTTACATCTTATTGGATTCAAATAGTATAATTATAACTAAATTAATAGGCTTTAATCATTAAAGAGCAAAACCCAATCTCTCAGGGTTTAATTTGTGCCCAAAACACCTCTTTTCGTCCAATTATCTATTCAAAACATTAGAACACCATATAAAAACTCAAAACAACCTCCTAAAGACCCAAAGAAATCAAAGCTTATAAGAATAAAGCCTTTGGGATCAAACTTTAGAAATTTCCTCTTCCAAAATTGAAGAAAACAAAGAGGGAGGGAAGATGATTAAAGTAGGGAGTTTACCTATCGTATAACCAAGCTCGCAATGCCCGCAAAACCTCTTGGATCTGAACCTTACTCCCTCTCTTCCTCCTCTCTTCTTCTTCTCACTCTCTCATCCGTTCGTTTCTTTCCTTTATTCTTTGTTCTATTTTTTTCATTTCTGCATTCATTTTTTCCTTTTAAAACCTGATTTAAACAATTTAGGAAAAATTATAAGAAAGGGCCCAACATTTTTTATGATAACACAAAAGCCTGGGTCAACTTTGATAATTTTTCTATAGTTAAAAATAAATTAAAACTAAATTTTTGTTGAGTAAAATTCTAAGTTAGGACCTCTATCATACTATTTTTAATTTTAATTTAATTATACATATTTTATTTATATATATATTTTTAATAAATTCGAGTCTTAAAATTTCAGGATGTTACAAGATTTCTATCTTTCTTCAACCTTTGAGGCATATAACATTTTAGTCAATATGTAGTGACATATTGATCTTCTGCTTCTTAATCAACATTGTTAGTAGCTCAGTCTCAAACTCAATACATGTGTTGAAGGAAGTCCTCTTATTGATAAAGAATCTTGCCATAATGTATGCAAGCATCCTGTGCTTGACTGGGAAAGATGTTAGTCTAAAGATAAATCATAGTTTCAATACCTCATTTGGAACTGCTTCTATCATCATGATGGCCTTGAATTTGTCTTCATTTGAGTAGAGTCTGGGAGCATTTCTTTGATTTGCTCAGTCAAATTCTTGAAGCTCCAGACCTCTTGCTTCAAGACCAAGTATGTGTCCAAACTCTTGGTAGTGAAATACATGGACATCCTTTAACGTTAGCCTTGTAAGTCTTCTTTTGCTTATCCCATCCAAAGCTAGAGTAAAAATCTTTCACCATATCTACAGGCCTCTATAGTCACTTAAATATTCATCTATATCAAAGTTGTAAGATTTGATAAAAGAATCACATTTAGTGTAGTGATTGGTGACCATTACAGTAGAGGAAAAGAATTGATTGAGTCTTATCCAGTGCTTAGAGCTCAGAAGCTTCCCTTCTCTAATATTTTCCTCGAAACATCACTTGGAGGCACATTGTTGCCATCCAGGGACAGTTCTTGACCAAGTCTGATCAAAGCCTCATCTTAGTGATCAGTTGAAGCAGGCTCAGATGTAGTAGCAAGCTCCTTTGATTTTCTTAGAGTTTTGATCCTTTTGGATGATTGAGAATGTGATTTAGTGCCTTCACCAATCAGAGCCTCTGTGAACTTTCTCATCCTTGTCACCTCCTCACTTGCTCTCTTCTTAGTATCTTTGGTTCTTGCTATCTCAGAGAATTAGAGGAAAAAGATTTAGGTTGAAGATATAAGAAGAAATTAGAGTGATATGAGGAACACAAAGGAGTTTAAAAGGAATGGGTAATCGAATTCAAATGATAAAATGACCAGAGAAGAATCAGAGAGATAGTTAAGAAAGAGAGAAGAAATAACAGCTAGAAAGTTGAACATTAGTTCATGTGTGAAATGGAAGAGTTGACACATGAGACATATAAAGGCAATGTAGGATCACGCGTGAAGAGAAAGGTGGTTCACATATGATTTAGCCAGTATTTCAAACTAAGTGATATTTCTTGCCTATGACTTGTTGTTTTTCACGCGTGATTTAGCTAAATGTTTTAAGTTCAGATTTTTGCAAATTCAATACTAGTAGAATTACGCGTGATCACAAATGATCTTCACGTGAGAAATGACTAGGTCAAAACAAAATGCTCTCAAGAGAACATTTCACGCAAGTAAGACTTCCTTCTTCACACATGATTTAGCACAAATGAGGAAAAATGGTATCCTAAGTACTATTTCTCGCAAGCGACTAAGAAGGTCTCATGTGTGAAAATGCAGCCACAAAAATTCTCACAGAATAAGGCATTTTCACATAAGATATAGTATGTGAATTTGCAAGAAATGTCCTAAAACAATGATAACCACTCTTTAAAGTAAATAGTACCTAATCTCCTAACTATTCTTTTAAGATTCCTTCCAATATTCATGAATTAATCCCTACAAAACAACTTATAACAACTCCAAAGCTTAAGTTAGTAAAAGATTCAAATATAATTCAATTAAATTTATGAATCTTACAACTCATTAGGATTTACCATTCCCAATTCCCTTCTTATGAATGTGAACTGTGCTTTAGCCAGAGGTTTGGTCAAAATGTCTTCTATTTGCTCAGTAGTGGGTACAAACTCTAGCATAATATCCTTCTTTTGCATATGATCTTTTAAGAAATGATGCCTTATATCAATGTACATGGTTCTTGAGTATTGGATAGGATTCTTGGCCAAGTTGATGGTACTCCTTAAGATGAACTCCTAAATCTTCTAATTGTTGTTTTGGCCATAAAATTTATGCATAATAACTTTCAGCTACTAAGTATTCAGCTTCACAAGATGATAGGGACACATTATTCTATTTCTTGATGAATCATGATATTAGTAAGCCACCAAAGAATTGACATATCCCACTTGTGCTCTTCCTATCCATCTTGTATCCACTATGATCAGCATCTAAGTAAGTGATCAATTCAGGTTTTCCTCCTTTAGGGAACTAGAGTCCTAGGTATGGTGTTCCATTTAAATATTTGAAAATTCTCTTCACAGCTTTTAAGTGAGACTCTCTTGGATCATCTTAAAATATGGCATGTAACATCCCAAATTTCTTAATCTTAAGTTTAGAAGTTAATCAAGGATAAAGTGAAAATTAAAGTGGGATTAGATATTCAGATGATTAATTAGTATTTTGACTTAGTTGTGTGTTGTATGAATAGATATAAGTGATAGGAGTACGTTTCGGGTCAAAACAAGTACACGTGGTGAGAATAAATCTCACTGTGCCATGCATCGTGGCTTGTGCTACATGCGCTGCGGCGCATGGACTAAAAATTCACTTCATAAGTCATGAATTTTAGAAAAATTTTAGAGGAGAGAATTTAAGAAACACACAAGACAAAGAGAGAAGAAAGGCTGAGGAGCTAGGTTACGTCATTTTAAAGCAGTGGAAGGTGATTCGGATCAGTAACTTGCCATGTAAGCTACGTATAACTCTTACCTTCCATTCTATATAAATTTCTCTGAAAATGAGTTATAGGAAAATTGAATTGGTGGAATTAGAGGGGTTTGATTCTTACCTAGTAGTAATAAAAAAGTTTTTGGAAGTTAAATTAGAGCTTTGTAACTAGTTTAGAGTTGAACGGTAGAGCTTTGAACCCACAGGCTCAATTTTGGCCTTTAGAAAGTGAAAGTTAGGGCAAAAATTTATCTTGAGTGAAATAAGACCGATTGAGGTAATGTAAAGTAGTAATTGGATAGTTATGGACTTAGAATGGACAAATAGAAAGGTGTTTATAGATGAATATAGCCCTAAGTGTTAAAAATGAGTTTTTGATCAAAATGGACCAAATGACTAAAATGTGCTAAATGTGTTCAGATTGACATATTGGACACGTGAGTAGAGAAAGGAAGCTTGAGATAAGCTTGTACGATAGTGAAAATCCATGGGTAACCTTTTGAGTGACAGAAGGGTTAAGGTAATTAGATAACTTTCTTTGTTTAACTGTTTATTATAACTGTATGTTAGTATGTTATGTAATGCATGAAATGGTTTTGAATTAAACATGTTTTATAGCATTGAGTGATTGTCGTGTGTGAAATGGACTTTGATTAATATAAGCATGGAAATGTGTTTTGTAATGAAAAGTATTATATCTTATGTATTAGAAAGTGTTAAATGATAAAAAGAAACCTTAAATGGTTCGAGAAAGCATGATCTGAGTAGTGGGAGTTCACCTAAGAGTAATCAGAGATAAGCAACCTAAATAATTGTTAGTAGTAAGTGCTGAGAAGTTGATCCGACAAGGTTGTGATGCCTATATGGTATTGTTTGCAGCAAGTATAGTGTGTGATGGTGGGATCGAGAAGATTGGGGTAGTAAGTGAGTTCCCAGAGGCATTTTCAGAAGAAATGACTGGATTACCTCCTGAAAGGGAAGTCGACTTCTCAATTGACTTGGTTCCTGGAACCGAACCAATATCAAAGGCTCCTTATAGAATGTCACCGTCTGAATTGGCTAAGCTAAAGAAGCAGATTGAAGATTTATTAGAGGAGAGATTCATCAGACTAAGTGTATCAACTTGGAGATCACTGGTATTGTTTATGAGAAAGAAGGATGGTAGTTTGTGATTGTGTATTGATTATTGGCAACTGAACAAAGTGACTGCAAAGAACAAGTATCCTCTATCAAGGATAGATGATCTTTTAGATCAATTGGCTGGTACCTCAGACTTTTCTAAGATTGATTTTAGGTCAAGGTATCATCAGTTGAGAGGTAGTGCAATGGATGTACCCATTTCAGAACTAGGTATAGCCATTATGAATTCCTGGTTATGCCATTTGGTTTGACCAATGTACCAGCAGTGTTCATGGATTATATGAACCGAATCTTTAGGCCGTACTTAGATCAGTTTGTAGTGATCTTTATAGATGACATCCTGATCTATTCTGAAAATGAGGAGAAATATGCGAGGCATTTGAGGATAATACTATAGATTTTAAAAGATAGAAAATTATATGCTAAGCACAGTAAGTGTGAGTTTTGGTTAAGGGAAGTGAGATTTTTAGGACATGTAGTGTCAGCAGATAGAATTTCAGTGGATCCACATAATGTTGAGGTAGTATTAAAATGGGAATGTCCTAGTTCAATTACAGAGATACATAGTTTTCTGGGATTAGCTGGGTATTATTGACGATTTATCCAAGGATTTTCTGATATAGCTTCGTCTTTGACTAAACTAACTTGAAAAGATCAGCCTTATATATGGGACAACCAGTGTGAAGTGGCATTTTGGAAGCTGAAAGAAAAATTAACAATAGCACCAGTGTTGATTATCCTTAATCTATGGTTACCTTATGAGATATACATTGATACATCTTTGAAAGGTCTTGGTTATGTCTTGATGCAAGACAGTCGAGTGGTAGCCTATGCTTCACGATAATTGAGACTGCATGAAGAGGATTATCCTGCATATGATTTAGAGCTTGCAAAAGTGGTGTTTGCTCTAAAGATTTAGCATCATTACCTATATGGTGTAGTGTTCACTATCTTTAGCATGATAAGAGTTTGAAATACCTAGTGGATCAAAAGGAACTAAATATGAGAGGCAAACAAGGTGAATGAAGCTTCTTAAGGATTATAACTTTGAATTGAAATACCATCAGGGTAAAACTAATGTGGTTGTTGACACTTTGAGCTAGAAGACTTTACATGTGGTAAGTCTTATAGTTAAGGAATACAGATTGATGAAGTCATTTGTGGAGTCACAGCAAGATGCACTATTAAAGGCATTAGTTAGTGCTTATTCCCTAAGATTAGCAATGATTTTTAGAAGGAATTGAGAATGGCACAACTAAAAGATGAAAGTCTTTTGAAGATTAGAGAAGAGATTGAAGTGGATCAAGCTATTGAGTTTGGATTCAATGATGATGGTTTTATGGTTTATCGAGATAGAATTTGTTTTCCTGAAGATGTAGATTTGACAAAAGTTATCTTGAATGAGGCTCACTATAGTAAATACACGATCCATCCTGGAGCTACAAAGATGTACCGAGATGTGAAACGATATTGGTGGTGGCTTGGTATGAAGAAAGATGTAATGGAGTTCATGACTTGGTGTTTGACCTGTCAAAAAGTGAAGATAGAGCACTAAAGACTAGCAGAAATGTTACAACCGTTGGATATTCCTAAGTGGACATGGGAGGGAATTTCTATGGATTTTATAGCTGGGTTACCAAGAACTCAATCTGGACATAATGCCATTTGGGTTATAGTCAATAGACTTACTAAATCAACTCATTTCTTAGCTGTTCGGATTAGTGATACTTTGGAAAAGCTGGCAGAGATCTAATCCAAGAAGTAGTAAGATTACATAGTGTACCAAAGAATATAATTTTTGATAGAGATCTAAAATTTATTTTTAAGTTTTGTGTAGCTTTACAGCGTGCGATGGGTATAGAGTTGAGATTTAGTATAGCATATTATCCACAAATAGATTGGCAGACATAACGAACCATATAGACTTTAGAGGATATGTTGAGAGCCTATGTATTGGAGTTGAAAGGTAGCTGGGATAGCCATCTCCCTTTAGCTGAATTTGCTTACAACAACAGTTACCACTCTAGTGTACAAATGGCACCAGATGAGGCATTATATGGGAGAAAATGCAGATCGCCTCTTTGCTGGACAGAGTTGAGTGAAAGGAGTGTATTAGGATTGGATATTGTGGATCAGACAACTCAAAAGATTGAGGTAGTTAGGCAAAAGCTATTAACGGCATAGAGTAGGCAAAAGAATTACGCAGATAGGCATAGAAGGCTGCTAGAGTTCTTGGTGGGAAACCATGTATTTCTGAGGGTTACACCAGTGACAGGAATTGGGAGATCGATATGAGCCGAGAAATTAACTCCTAGATTCGTTGGTCCTTTCAATATTCTGGAGAGAAGTGGACTAATTACCTACAAGATTTCTTTGCCACCACAGTTATTGGGTGTGCATAAGGTGTTTCACATGTCGCAATTCAAGAAATATCAACTTGATCCTTCACATATGATAGAACCGGAGGAGATTGAGCTCCAAGAGAATTTAATCTATAAGGTTGAGCCAGAGCGAATCGTGGATGTGAAAGAGAAGCAATTAAGGAATAAGATTATACAATTAGTTAAATTTTTCTAGCGAGGCATGGCTCCTGGTGATGCTACTAGGGAGACAGAGGATAAAATGAAGCAGCAGTACCCTTACTTGTTTCTATAAGTATATATTTATGTCTTTTATGAATTTTGAGGGCAAAATTCTTAAAAGGAGGGGACAACTATAACATCCTGAATTTCTTAATCCAAAGTTTAGAAGTTAATCAAGGATGAAGTGGAAATTAAAGTGGAATTAGAGATTCAAATGATTAATTATTATTTTTACTTGGTTGTGTGTTGTATGAACAAATATGGGTGATAGAAGTATGTTTCAGGTCGAAGCAAGTACGCGTGGTGAGAATAAATCTCACTGTGCCACGCGCCGCAACTTGTACTGCATCGCATGCGCCACGGCGCATAGACCAGACATTCACTTCATAAGTCATGAGAAGAAGGGCTGAGGAGCTAGATTAAGTCATTTTGGAGTGATGGAAGGTGATTCAGATTGATAACTTGCCAGGTAAGCTACATATAACTCTTACCTTCCATTCCACACAAATTTCTCTGAAAATGAGTTATAGGAAAATTGAATCAATGGAATTAGAGGGGTTTGATTCTTGCCGAATAGTAATAAAAAGGATAAAAGATAATAACCTAGCATAAAAGATCATAACTTGCCAGGTATGATATAAAGGTACCATGCAAAATAGTAGGGTAATGGTAGAAGTTGAAACCCAACATATTTCTAGTTCAAAAGATAATAACCCATTATTGGCTTGCACGAACTATTATGGAGTGGTTGATGAGATATGGGAGGTGAATTACACTAAATTCAAAGTACCTATTTTCAAATGCAAGTGGGTTCACTTTAATGCTATTAAAGTAGATAAGGAATTTGGGTTTATTTCAAATGATCTCAAAAGGCTTGGTTTTAAAGAGGAGCCCTTCATTTTAGCAAGTCAGGCAAAACAAATTTTTTACATCATTAATCCAATGAATAAACAGCGTTTTATTGTACTGCAAGGCAAAAAACAAATTATTGATATGGAGGATGATGACTCAACTTTTAACCTTGATGAAACCCTGCCTTTTACTGCAAATCTACCTAGATCAATTGAAATAGATTTGGTTGATGATGAATATGCAATTAGAGATAATCATTGTGAGGAAATTTGGGAGAATGAATAAAGTAGGAATTAATTAGTAAAACATTGAATTAATTGATTCTTTATATTCATATATTTGTTTCATTTATTTATTTCTATGTATTTAATTATAATGCAAGTTACTTACCCATATTATTTTCTAATCTTAATAGGCACATGGAGGGTTCTACTGAAGATGTAGTTGACACGTCCTGCGTAACTTACAAGAAAAGAGGTAGAGGAAGTGCAAAATTGAATGAGCTGGCACTACAGAGAGAGTGCATTTAGAGTTTGGTGTTGGTAAAAGACCACTTGGTCCAGAAGGGGATAAGTTTATAAGTTACATAGGTCTCATAGCTCAGAGTAAAGTTGGGATCTTGTATCATAATTGGCAAGAAGTACCGAAAACTACGAAGGACATGATTTGGAGTGATATTTTGGCATGCATATTTTTTATTTTTTTTCTATTGTTTTAATTATATTAGATACCATTATCTTATTTTATAATTATGACACATTGCAGCTTACTTATGACATTCCTCCTACTAATGAGATGAAGAGGTATTGACTTCAGCAAGTACATGATCGGTGGAAAGATTTCAAGTCATTACTTCCCAGGGAATACATTCGAGGAGCAAAGAAGAAAAACAATCCATGTTTAGAATATAATTTCATTGATGAAGACACTTGGAGAGAATTTGTGAGGTCACGAGATGATCATAAATTTCGGGTAAATTTTGATATAATTAATAACTTAGTTTATTTTTGTTTAGTTTACAACTAACTTTCTTTAATTATTTTTGTTTAGTTTACAACTAACTTACTTTATTTTTATTTTATTATAGGAATAAAGTGCTACAAATAAAGAGAGACAGTCTAAAAATAAATATCAGCATTACTTGTCTCGAGGGGGATATAGGAAGCTGGACCAGAAACTTTGGAAAGTAGATTTGAAGCAATTGCAGGAAGTTGCGAGATCTGACCCTAGTATTGTTGTTCATCCCCCAGCTCCTCCAACTCGTCAAAGGAAATGGAAAGAAGCCAAAATCAAGAAAGGCTAATATATTACTCCAAAGGCTGCTGAAGTTGCTCAACAGATTGTCAGTAATTATATTAAACGGATTCAATTTTAGATTTTGTATCTTTTAAGATAAATTCATTAATTATATATTGCAGGATTCACTTAAGGAACAAGCTTCTCAAGGTTCATTTCAATCCACTCGAAGAATGGATATCTTGACATTAGTAATTGAAACGCCAGATTATTCTAGTCGTGTTAGGGGGTAAGAAAAGGAGTTAGTCTGAAGGAGTATTTCGGATCAATTTCATGAGGCTTATTAGGAGTTGTATTAAGAGCTGAGCTTGATAACCTTCTAGTAAAGGTTAGAGATGAATGTACTCAAAAGAATGAGTAGGATAATTTGCTGCTCCATGAGCAGATTCCTCAAGACGTTAGATCCATGGTCACTAACATGGGAACCACACAAGACAATTGACAGGGAACTAGGCAGCAGGAACTCCAGGTTTTCATTACTTTTAATTAGTTTAATTATTCAATTTTGTTTATTTTATTTTTTCTTCCATTGTGTTTACTTATTTTTCCAGACTTCTCCTATGCTTTAAAGCACCAAAAATAGCTATAATCCACCAGAGATGGCACTATATGCCTCTAGTCCCTTTGTAGAAGAGGAACAAGTTTGTTTTCTTTATTTGAATAATCCTTGGAAGTGGATTGTTGGTTCAGCACGGTTATATATGCTTACAGAAACAATCCATAACATGAGTATTTTGGATGATCAAGTGAAGGAGATAGTTGAGGTTGTTCTTGAACCATGTGCCATTCCCTACTGATGAGGTTGAAAAATTAGGTGAAGTATTAGGACAATTCATTTTATGGCCTAAAAGACTTATTGACATAGAGATGACAATTCCAATGGTAAAAAAACTCTTCATTATTCTTTGATTTTCTCTTTTGACTTATATAAATTTTATTCATTTCATGTTTTATTAGGATTTTGATGAGATTGAAGACTACTCTGCTATGTTACAATTACATGAATTTTTTAAGGCAATGACAAAGCCTATCAATTTGGCAATGCTTAAAGGAATTGTGGGTATAGACAAGTCATATCCTTTTGCAATGGACAAGAAAGATATCTTGAAATTCTTGTTGATAAGGGAGTTGGATATCTTATAGGCTATGTTATCTATCTTGTAATTTTATTACCTCTATTCTATCTCATTTTCATTTATTTTGATTTATATGCAATAATTTTTGTGTCATTTTATTAATAGGTTTCTTAGTAATCTTTGCACTGAACCATGAAAAGATCAATATGGATTTTTGTGTCCAGCTTCTTTGACATCAACCCATAATGATATCAGTGATAGGATGAGATACGTGAGCAATACTATTTCAGAAACAAAATTACCATGTTATGTGGCTCCAATTCTTGAAGGGCAAGTTCCTTTATATTCATTTATATATATATATATATATATTTAGTTTGATAATTTTTTTATGCTTTCATGTATTGATTGCGTTTGTCTCTTTGTAGTTACCATTTGTCCCTTTGTGTTATATGCTCGTATTCGCATGACATCTATTAGTTTTGTTCCATGGGCAAGCAACTGAGTACTGAAACTAAAAACATATTCAACACGTAAGTTAAAATTATTTTTGTAAATGTTAGATATTTATTTTGTTTTAATACTTTATACTTTATTTAAATTTCATGATAGAGCATTGAAGATATATTATATGACTGGGGGAAAGTGACGCCTAGCAAAAAATATATCTTAAAAAAATCCCTCACCGACTTGGATTTTTCCAAATATAGGTAATTTTAATTTAATACTTTTTATCCACAACTTTTTTA